ATGTTGGCCAGGCCAGTCTCAGACTCCTGGCCTCAAGTGATCCCTCTGTGCCTTTTTTTTTTTGAGATGGAGTCTCGCTCTGTTGCCCAGGCTGGAGTGCAGTGGCGTGATCTTAGCTCACTGCAACCTCCACCTCCCAGGTTCAAGCAATTCTCTTGCCTCAGCCTCCCAAGTAGCTGGGATTACAGGCATGTGCCACCACATCCAGCTAATTTTTTGTATTTTTAGTAGAGACGAGGCTTCTCCATGTTGGTCAGGCTGGTCTCAAACTTCCAACCTCAAGTGATCCACCCGCCTCAGCCTCCCACCACAGTGCTGGGATTACAGGCCTGAGCCACTGTGCCTGGCCTTTTTTTTTTTTTTTAAAGTAGAGATGGTTTTGCCATGTTGGCCAGGCTGGTCTTGAACTTCCCGACCTCAGGTGATCTGCCCACTCTCAGCCTCCCAAAGTGTTGGAATTATAGCTCCCACTGTGCCTTTTACCCCCAACATAATCTTGGTGACAAGGACTTTGTGTTTTGTTCTCTACTAAATCCCCAGGGTGCTTAGGATGTGACATGTTATCAATAAGTAGTTAAACTAATAAATAGGCTTGCTGAATGAATTTGTCCCATTGCCTTGGGCAAGTTTCTTTTTATTCTTTCATGCCAGAGGAAAATGACACTACCATTTCTTGCATAATGTGAAGCTACAGCCACACAGTTAGTCCCTAAGGCAAGGAGTGTTATACCCATTTTATAGATAAGCAGAGAAAGATTAATTGCTTGCCTGTGTTCCTTTTGGGAACCTGGATTCTTTTAATAGTTGTTGAAGCCTCCACTTGAGGCCAGAAGTTCAAGACCAGCCTAGCCAAGATGACAAAACCCTGTCTCTACTAAAAACACAAAAATTAGCCGGGCGTGGTGGCACATACTTGTAATCCCAGCTACTTGGGACGCTGAGAGGGGAGACGGCTTGAACCCAGGGAGGAGGTTGCAGTCAGGGAAGCCTCAGACCAAGAATGATTGAATAACTAAGAAAAGGTGTAAATAAAGATCGTCAGCTGTTAGGGGGTACTAATTAGGAGAGTTACGAGTAGAAAATGATAAATTACGGAAAATATCATTGAGATGCCAACGGGTTAATTTCAGAGAAAAAAGACTGAGTGGAGGGAGTATGGGGAATGTGTGCTGGGGAGGGAGTGTGACTAAGGTCGTAAGGAGACCCTTGATCACCGTCAGTTGAGCGTTTTGACTGTGGAGGGGTCGAAAACTCGGTAAGCGCCTGAGAGAAGGAATGGGCAGGACCAAGTTCTGAAACCCAGGTCAGTATGACGGAGGAATAGTAAAGAAGACAAAGGCCGAGACCCTGCCATGTCAGTACCTTTCTCTTACGGAGGGGCACCGCCTTGTTGGGGTCCACAGCCAACCCCATCTCGGCCAGGTTCTGCCGCACCGATTTAGCGTGGTCCCAGGCATGTCGGATGTGGGAGCTACCGGCAAGAAAGACATCGCGGATCCGTCATCTCGCGGGCCGTCCCGGCCGAGGCGTCCCGCCACCCGGAACCCCAGTCCGCTCACCACTCGATCCGCGGCGCTGCCTTCCGTCGAGCATTCCGGTTCAGACGCTTTCGGTTGACATTGTAACCAAACTTCTGCCTCCGGGTCTTGCCCTTGGCCTTGGGCATTGCGCTAACCACCGCACCAGCAGCTCACACGCCGTGCCTCTCTTAGACCTCGTGTAACAAACCCCTTCCGGGGGGCGTGCACAAGGCTTTGCGGGCATTTGGGGAAATGTAGTCCTTTCGTAGCACTGCGTGAGCACTACAACGCCCAGAATGCAATGAGCACCTGCGCCTGCGTACAACGCTCAATCTAGTCGTTTCCCCGCCCCTTTCATGACCTTCACCGGGAGGCGGAGCTCGGAGTCCCGATTTTCTCCTGCAGCTGTTTGGCCCGGTCATGGCGACTCCCGGCCCTGTGACCCCGGAGGCCTCCTTAGAACCATCGAAGCCTCCCGTCATTGAGGGGTTTAGCCCCACTCTTTACAGCAAGCCAGAGAGTTTCAAGGAAAAGTTCATTCGCAAGGTGCGCGAGAACCCGATGGTACCCATAGGTAAGTGGGTGCTGTAGGAACTGCACACGGCGAGGACAGTGATGTCGGGGGGAAGGAAGTAGAGGAGGATCAGAACGCCAGCGGGGAGCGGAATGAGCGCGGACGGGAGTAGTGACGAGGGGGCGGGGCGGTGAAGGCGAAACTGATTGGAGCGGGAGCAGCAAGTTTTGGGGGAGTGATTTGGCGCCTAAGACTGGGAGAACTCTAAATGGGAGGACCTTACCTCGACCAACCCTCTCAGCCTTCCCTCCGCTGTAATACAGACATCTTGGTTTTGGGGAAGAGATACCCAAAGCGGGGAATGACTTGCGGGGCCCGACCTGCTGTTTCCCAGTTGCTTTGTCCCCTCCTCAGGTTGCCTGGCCACCGCGACCGCCCTCGGCTACGGCCTTTACTGCTTCCACAAGGGTCACAGCCGGCGCTCTCAGCTCATGATGCGCACCCGGATCGCCGCCCAGGGCTTCACAATCGCAGCCATCTTGGTGGGTCTAGGTGTCACCTCTATGAAGTCTCGACCGTGAGCCCAGGGTCTGGCCTTGAAAGCTCCGCAGAAATCACTCCGAAATCTAGGAGCAACCACTGGCCCTACCATGGGACTTACTCCTTACTCTCCTTTGAGCGCGCCCTGTGTCGCTGGGGGAGGAAGTGACCCTTTGTGTAATCCTAACTGAAAATTTTTTTCAAAAATCCCAGATTCTGTTGTTTAAATGTTACATACTTCTATTTGTGCCACATCTACCCTCCAGTCTGCTTAATAAACTCTTAAAAATCCACTTGTAGTATGGTGAATTCAATCTCACCCCCATGGTTTCTGGTCTTCGATTTTGGAGGAAACAGACTTTAGACTGGAGTGGCACTTAGAAATCTTGTAATCTAGTGATTCCCCACCTTTCCTAGTAACAGCCACCTGGAGCACTTTGAAAATAGAGATTCCCAGGTCACTCCTTGAGAATCTAGTTCAGTGGGCCTAGAGTAATGCTATTTGAAAAATACTGATCTAGCCAGCAGTTTTTGAAACTCTCAGTAGGACAGCCTTCCTTCAGATGAGACCTCTCATAGTTTGGTCAGAGGCAGAGGGTTCTGCCTTCCACTTAGCACCAGCTCCTCACCCTGCTACCACCTCCTGAGAGCCTATGGGGCGCCACTGATCTTGACCATCCTGGTTCTTGACACAGTACAGAACAGGAAACAGGCTCAGAGAAGCAGTCTGGTACAGTGGGAAGAACACAGTCCCAAAGCTGTCCAGCAATTTGTGTATGTGGTGTTTTAGGGTTTTGGAAGAGGAGGCTGAGGACCTGAGCAAACTCCAAAAGAGGTGACCTGTGAGTTCCTCCTTCAGGTAAAGTCTCACACATGTATTCCTGGTCTGTGGTCAGCTCTCCTCAAACGTTGGATTTGAGGACCCAGGTTTTTCCCATGTGTGATTCTACTGTTTTCAACACCAGCTTCAAGCTAGCAGAAGGAAAAGGGGGGAGTGAAGACACACCCCTTTTTGAACCCCCAGATAGTCTAGATTTCAGAGTGGAAGGCTATATACTAGGGCCAGCTAAGTTTCTTGCCTCCACCATGTTCTCTCAACTGTGAGACAGAGATGGTAGATGTAGAACAGTGCACTGTGGTGACCCTTGGCCTCCAGATACAAGGACATGGAATGGTGAGGTCTGTGACACTTTTAAAGAGGATGGCCACTGTTTGTAAGTGGTGTCATGGTGTCCCCCTTCCAAAGCTGCTGAAGTCATTCATTTCCTTGGAATGTGACCATAGGGTGGGTGCTGTGGCTCATCCCTGTAATCCCAGAACTTTCGGAAGCCAAAGTGGGTAAATCGCTTGAGCCCAGCCTAGGTGACACGGCAAAGCCCCTTCTCTACTAAAAATACAAAGATTAGCCAGCTGCGGTGACACATGGCTCTAGTCCCAGCTACTTGGGAGGCTGAGATGGAAAGATCGCCTAACCCAAGGAAATTGAGGCTGCAGTGAGCTGAGATTGTGCCACCGCACTCCAGCCTCAGTGACAAAGTGAGACCCTGTTTCATAAAAAAAAAAAAAAGAAGAAAAGAAAGATTTGGACACAAAGACATGCATAGAAGGTAATGCGCAGACAGCCGTCTGATGGTGGCAAGATTGGAGTGATGCATCTGCTAGCTAAAGGATGTCTGAGGCTACCAAAAGCCAGAAGCAAGTGGAACAGACCCTTCCCCAGCTGCTTCAGAGGGGGCACAACTCTGCCACACCTTGATTTCAGATTTCTGGCCTCAAGGACTATGAGACAATAAACTTCTGTTGTAAACTAGCTGGTTTGTGTACTTTGTTACAGAAGCCCTGGGAAGCTAATATTTACTGGCAATTTTTTTAAACACCATGCAGGTCAGGAATGTCCTGTTTGCAAACTCTGCTGAAGGGGAAGAAGGTGTGGTCATTGGTTGTTTATCCCAAATCCACAGATGGGCCCAGCTGAAGGAGGAAGCAAAATATGCTGGGACCCTCTGCCTCTACATCCAGAGGGTTCCCAGCCAACCCTGAGGAAGGGGGTCTCGTGGGTCTTCGAGACTGTTACTCAGGCTCAGGCGGAAGCTCCCATCAGGAACCTCCAGTCTTGCCTTTTCCCTCCCACTACAAGCCACTTCCCCTCTGGAAACCTTGGTGTCCTTGGCTATATGATGAGATTAACAGAATTTACCTCACAGACTTGTTTAAGGGTTGAGGTTAGAAAAGCGTTCTGCAAGAGGCTGTCTTTCCTCCTGGGGATCACAGATAGCTGGGGGCTCCTGCTTGGCTGGGAAACAGGGAAACAGTCTCGCCTTCTCTCAAGGCCATGAGGCTGGGAAAGCTCTAAGCACAAACTGAGCCCTGACACCAGTTGTGGCTTCCAGAGAAATGAGAATGATAATAAATAAGTGTAAAAAGAGTTAACAACACACCCTTTAAGCCAAGAAAAAAATACATCAGGAGGGACAGTCACAACTGAGTGGACTGAGACGAGGCATGAGGGAGTGGACCATAGGGCTGAGAAGGAGTGAGGGATGAGAGGTGTGGGGAGGCATTCCCTCCCAGCCCCTAGAGATGGGAGGAGCAGAATAGGCTCTGGGGAGCAGCTGCTGGGAGTCTCTGCCCCGACCGAAGCAGCTACTCCTCCTCTGCCCAGGCCCCGCCCTTGCTCTGTGGCCATGTTATAGCAGGCACCTAGCGGGATAGTGGCGTCTGCTTCAGGGACATGAGCACCGAGCGCAGGCGGGACACATCTTTGCACTGCTTGCTGCTCTTGGGGTTGAAGTCACATAGCTGGGCCACCTTCTCCCACTCTGTGCCTGGGGTCTCCTCCTTGGATTCCTTCACGAAAGCCTCCTCGGATGCCCTGCAGGTGGAGATAGGACAGGGAGTTTCATAGCTGCCCGCCCTTCCCCAGCCTTTCCCTTGAGCAAGGCTGCTTTGCCTAGCATACTCTGGGGCACTTTTATCTAAAAGTCTCCTCCCCAGCCCTGTGCCCCTCTGACTTCAGAGGAAAGCAGCCTTGGCGTAAGAGGAAGCCTAACTTGGTCCTGCCTCAGGACCTTGGCACTTGCTATCACCTCTTCCTGGGACATGCTTCCCCCAGACCTGCTCCTGGCTTGCTGCTTCTTGTCATTCAGTTCTCGGTGCAGGCCTTACCTCCTCAGAAAGGTCTTCCCAGCCTAGGCACTCTGTTCATTACCTCCCCATCAGGAGTTCCCAACCTGGGGTTCCGGACACCTAAAGACCCTTGGCGTACCTTAGCTATTTTCACCATTTCCAAAAACTTGGCAGAAGTAGGACATTGACTAACCATCTAACAGAAGTGCCTAGCTCAGCATTGCCCAAATGTTCTGTTTAAGTATTCTCCAGGAAGACTGGTCAAATACATATGGAAAACTCAGCTAAAGAGGATCTTTATAGAGGGGACTTTCAAAGCCTTTAATGTGCTGTGTGCATCATGACCCTCCAAGGTGGGTATGTGATCGATATGGAATCCACCACATCCCAAGCATGTTTGACTACAGAGCCCTTCGTAGTCAGGAACAACCATTACCACTATGGAGCCACAGCCTGGGGCATGAATGCTCCACTGGAGTCTGAGTTTGGCTGGAATCAAGTTAGGATGAAATCTGGTGGTCCTTCATCAGAAGTTCAGGTGGACAGTTACAGAAGCCACTGACTAAGGGACAGTGGGGAGAGAAGTAAATATAGTATAGTGGACAAAATCTAAACGTGGGACTCACTAAGAGAAAGACGATAAGGTATTCTTAGGTGAGGAGTGCTGGGTCTATATCCTGTTTGGCCAGTGAGGGTCCCTCAAATTTCCTGGAAGCCCCCTCTGCATCTCAAGCAGGACCAGTTCTGCCGATGCCAGACGTGACCGATGGCAGGAGCTCTCCACGGAACAGCTGACCCTGGGAACAGGTGACCTGGCCCCTTTCTAGCGATGCTGGCTCCATGCTTATTTCCTAGCTTGTAAAATGAGGATCATAGCTTTGCCTATTTTACTGGCCTGAGAATTCAATGAGGTAGCAAGCAGGCCTGGAAAAAAGGAAAGTGCTGTGCGGAGCTGGGTGGCAAGGGGGGATGAGGGGAACTATGCTGTCCCTTCAGGGTCCAGAGGCTCCTCTCTGTCCCTGCAGCTCAAAGTGTCCATGATCCAACAGCATCAGTGAGACCATAGAGCTTGTCAGAAATTCGGACCCAAAGAGGAAAAAAAAAAAAACAAAGAAAAAAAGAGGAAAAATATTAAAAAAAATAAAAATAAAAAAGAAATGCAGATCTTTGGGCCTCCCCACAGTCCTGCTGAATCAGAATCAGAGTTTTCACCAGACTGCCTGGTAATTCATAGACACATGAAAGTTTGAGCCTGGGCGCAGTGGCTCACACCTGTAATCCCAGCACTTTGGGAGGCTGAGGTGGGTGGATCACTTGAAGTCAGGAGTTCAAGACCAGTCTGGCCAACATGGTGAAACCCCATTTCCACTAAAAATGGAAAAAATTAGCCGGGCATGGTGGCAGGTGCCTGTAATTCCAGCTACTTGGGAGGCTGAGGCAGAAGAATCACTTGAACCCAGGAGGTGGAGGTTGCAGTGAATCAAGATCATGCCATTGCATTCTAGTCTGGGTGACAGAGTGAGACTCTGTCTTAAAAAAAAAAAAAAAAAAAAAGCAGCAGCAGCAGCCCTGGTCTACACTCGGACTCTCTTCAGGGCTCTCCTGGGTGCTCTCTGGGACATTTCAAGCATCAAGCCCCCTGTGGTATTCCACAGCACCCATGCCCAGCTGACATCTCTATCCCCTGTGGAAGCCTCCCATGGCTCCCCACTCCCTTCTGGATCACGTCTGAGCTCAGTCTTGGCACAACAGGAGCTTTGTAGCCAGCCCTAAGTCAACCACTTCCCAGCCTCAGCTCCCACTGTTCCAGCCTCCGTAGAGCTTCTAGAGCTTCTGCTGCTACAGTCAGCTGGGACTTTTCTCTCTGAATGCCTTGGCCCCAGCTGCTCCTCCCACCTTCTCTTCCCACCCTCTTTATCCAGCAAACTCCTTCTCACACTTTAAGGTCAGTTGAAGGTCTTGCTTCTCTGAAGTCTGCCTGGAATCCCCCAGCAGAGAGTTGCTTCCAGAGCTCGCTGTGCCCTTCTACAAGGCTCTTACCACAACACACTCCAGACCATAAGCACCATGGTGGGTGGGGAGGAGGCCTGTGTGTGTCTTACCAATCTGGCACAAGGTGAGTACCAAGGAGCATTAAATGCAGGAGAGCAGAAGGAAGGGGACGAAGGCCCTGGTGTGTTCTGTGCCCTGTGAGAGGAGGCTTAGCCTCGACACATCACAGGCTGCCAGGGCACACCTAGAGTGAAGAATGGCAAATACTTTCTCTTCAGCTCCGAAATTCCCACCGTCACCCTCCAGGATGTCTCTACCAACCAACTGAGGTTGGCATGAGGTAAAACCTGTTTGCCAACCTCACCACACCAAGTAGACCCCAAACCTGAAACATGCGAGGGGGCCTGGGCAGGGGCTGCTGGCCAAAGTCAGTGCACTGGGGCAGGAGGAAGGGATGGATGACACGAAGGAGCAGCTCTTGTCCTTTATATGCCTCCAGCATCCCATGCTTAGTGTCTGTTTTGTTCAATTAAAGGCCCCTTCGGCCAGGCACAGTGGCTCACGCCTGTAATCCCAACACTTTGAGAGGCCGAGGTAGGTGGATCACCTGAGGCCAGGACTTGGAGACCAGCCTGGTCAACATGGTGAAACCCTGTCTCCACTAAAAATACAAAAATTACCTGGGCGTGGTGGCGCACGCCTATAACCCCAGCTACTCGGAGGCTGAGGCAGGAGAATCTCTTGAACCCAGGAGGCAGAGGTTTCAGTGAGCCGAGATCGCATCACTGCACTCCAGTCAGGGACAAGAGTGAAACTCTTGTCTTTTTTTTTTTTTTGAGACAGAGTTTTGCTCTTTTTACCCAGGCTGGAGTGCAATGGCGCGATCTCGGCTCACTGCAACCTCCGCCTCCTGGGTTCAGGCAGTTCTCCTGCGTCAGCCCCCTGAGTAGCCGGTATTACAGGCACGCGCCACCATGCCCAGCTAATTTTTTGTATTTTTAGTAGAGACGGGGTTTCACCATGTTGACCAGGATAGTCTCGATTCTTGACCTCGTGATCCACCCGCCTTGGCCTCCCAAAGTGCTGGGATTACAGGCGTGAGCCACTGTGCCTGGCTGAAACTCTTGTCTTAATAACAACAAAAAAACCCTTCACCCCACACACCCTACAAGAGGCATCTCAGAGGGAGGGAGTTGGGGCTGCTTTGCCATTTGTCCCTCCCACATGGGAATGAGTGGCCAGCGCATTCCTTTCTCTGCCTTTACCCTGCAGGGCTCTGATTTAGCCAAGCGGCCTCCAGTTTGCTGGAGGGAGAGAGATGGTTGGTGCCTGCACCTGCCAGGGTATTTGCCTCCTGCTCTGACCACTGCTTGGAGCCCAGCCATACCCATTTATATCCCACAAGCAAGGAACTCAAGAAACTGTGGCCACCACATCCATTCCCTCTCCAGCTCCCCCGACAGAGAAGCAGAAGAGACACGTACACATAGCCGATGATATCAGCATCCGGCTGCTGGTAGAATGCTTTGTCAGCGATCCTTGAGGGAAAGGTTGAGGGAAGGGGTTAGGTGGGGAAAGACAGAGGGCAAGAAGACAGGCAGGCAGAGGGTTAAAGAGAGAGAGAGAGACAGCATTAGTACCTCCAGTGGGAGAGGTGTTAGGAAGCATAGTTCCGGAAGGCTCAGCAATGATCCACAGCCCCAAACAAGAGAATGGGGACCTCGGCCCTGGCCCCAGAGCCTTCTCTAAAATTCATCCCTGATCATGTTACTCCTGCTCAAACGCATTCAGAGGATCCCCACTGCCTGTCACTGCCTGACTCATCAGCAGAGGCCCTTACAATGTGAGTCCACAGCCTCCTGCCTTCTCTCTCCCTCCACTCCTTGGCCCCTGTTGCCCAATACATCACATATTTTCTTTCGTACCCAGGTCTAGAATGCCCTCCCTACTCCCTGCCCTTTTTTCCTGATGATCTCCTAGTTATCCTCCAAAGCCCAAGTCCCCAGACACAGAGGTCCCTCCCTGACCCATTTCCTTGCTTCTATGGCCTTCGTGCAGAGGGCCCTACTGTATTTGAACTCAGTTGAACATGTGTGTTTTTCTCTCTGCGCCCTTTGAGGACATAAGACTGGGTCTTCCTTATCTCCATCTCCTTAATGCCTACCCCAGAGCCTGGCATGCAGCAGTTTTCTGGACAGAAGGGTAGCTGTCTCCTAGAGCAGGCCTTTCCCTTCCTGGAAGATCTTGGACCCTGAAGAGGGTAGCCTAAAAGGCAGGGAGCACTGGGCAGTATTCAATCTGAGACCATTTCCACAAAGGTGTTCTCTGCTGGGCATCTGCTGTCTTCACCTGCCCAGCATTCATGCCTCTTCTTCCAGGAAGGGCACCCTGACTGTCCTCTGCTGGAACAGGTTGCCCCAGCTTCGGTCCCTGTGGTTTGAGTGGGACTGATCCCTATGCACAACCCAAGGAATGGGACTATCACCCAGACTAGGGCCCCCTGGCTAGTCACTGGGCCTGGCATGGTCCAAGCCAGTGAGGGTCGGGCCGAGGACTTGAGCTGGAGCTCTAGGGCACAAGATGCTATTTTCACTAGGGCTGCCAAGAGAATAGGGCAGAAGCCTGGAGTTGCTGCTGGCCATCTTTCCCTCCACACCAGGGTGCAGGCCCGACAGTGAAGCGCAGCTGGAGGAAAGGACAGCGGGCGCAGTGAGTGAGGGTGGATGGACTTCACTGGAGCCCCTCGCGCCCCAGTGCCCACCATCCTACCCCTGGCCTTTGTAGTTATACAGCCTGTGATTTTTTTTTAATCCTTTAGCCACTCAGGGTGGCATTTCTCCAGCAGTAAAATCCCATTCACAAGTCTCTTCTTCACCCTCAGTGCAGCTTGTGCTGTCTCTGATCCTAACTCTGGCCACAGAGGGCCACACCTCACTGTTGGCTGCTGAGGCCTGGACAGACTTGCTGGCATTCCAGGGCCCTGGGCCCCTTTAGCTGCCTCGCAGACTCAGCTTCCTCTTGAAAACAGGTGAGGCCTCCATGGTGGAGCAGCTCCAGGGGGCCCTGAACTCCACGAGCAAATGAGGAAGCAGCCCTGGGGTTTCCCTTCTTCCCTGCTCCCATCACCAAACCAGCCCCTCCAGACCGTCCCCCATACCACAGTCCCCTCACGTCCCATCAGCTGCCCCCCATATCCCCACAGCACCCTTACATACCCTCTTCCCCCTCACTTCCACACGACCCCTCACATCTCCACAGCCCCCCCATGTCCCCACAGCCCTCTCATGTCCCATCAGCTGCCCCCCCATGTCCCCACGGCCCCCTCACGTCCCCATGGCACCCTTACATCCCCTCTGCCCCCTCACCTCCCCACAGCCCCCTCACATCTCCACAGCCTCCCATGTCCCCACAGCCCCCTCATATCCCATCAGCTGCCCCCCCATGTCCCCACAGCCCCCTCACAACTCCACAGCCTCCTTATGTCCCCACGGCCCCCTCACATCCCCACAGCTGGCTCCCTCATGTCCTCAAGACCCCCTCAAGTCCCCATGGCCCCCTCATGTCCCCACAGCCCCCTCATGTCCCTCTGGCCCCCTCATGTCCCTCTGGCCCCCTCATGTCCCCACAGCCCTCTCACCGGTTGTTGATCTTGTTCTTCTCTACTTGTTCACTCTGGCGCTGGTTCCACTCCTCCAGGTCCTTCTTGGCCTTCTCCCGCCACTCCTGTTCTGTCACCTTAGATGCAGCATCTGGGACCCCACAGGAGAATGAGCGGCTGCTTTCCAGCTGGGATGCACAGGCCTGGCCACCCTGGCTGCTCCTCCCCTGGCTCCTGCCAGGCACCTCAGGGTCGCCCAGGCCCAGTCCCACATTAAGGCATGCAGGGTTCCATGCACTCCCAGGCCTCCCCACACACAGCCCACCCCCACCTCAGGCCTGCCCTCACCCAGCTCTTGCAGCCGTTTCCTCTGCTCTTCTCGCCACTTTCGGATGCTCTCAGGCTCCTGGGTCAGCCTGTCAGCCTGAGCAATGGCTGCGTAGCCGTCAGCAGGACCATTGGCCTCCTAGAACACAAATACGCAGCAGTCTGCCCAGTTGGCACACCCACCCCGCTGTCTCTGCTGCCCCTACTGGGGCCCTGCTCACGTCTGGGTAACTCAGCTTCAAACAACCTCATACCCACTGTCTCCGGTGACTATGCCTCCCTTTGCCTTTGCTGTTCCCTCTGCCAGCAACACTCCTCCACCTGTGTGACTGCGGGCAAGTTACTCACCCTCTCTGTGCCTGATCATTGCCCTCAGCCCAGTCATAGGTTTTGATACCCTCCAAGCAGGAGACTCAAGAAACCGTGTGCTAGCCACTTTCTTTGTCATAAAATGGGCTAAATAACAGTATGCACCCCAAAGGGAGGACATAAGGATGAAAGGAGTTAAAATTATAAAAAGCTTAGAACCCTGCTTGGCATAGTGAGTCCCTTGTTCTACGGTCATTAAAATCACTCTCTATTGTGGTTCTGTTAACTCCTAACACTTAGTCCTCACTTTATCTTTTCTTTTTTTTTTAAATTATTTATTTGTTTTTTTTTTATTTTTTTCTTTTTCTTTTTTTTTAAATTGCATTTTAGGTTTTGGGGTACATGTGAAGAACATGCAAGACTGTTGCATAGGTACACACATGGCAGTGTGATTTGCTGCCTTCCTCCCCTTCACCTATATCTGACATTTCTCCCCATGCTATCTCTCCCCAACTCTCCACCCTGTGTTGTCCCTCCCCTATTCCCCCCAACAGACCCCAGTGTATGATGCTCCCCTCCCTGTGTCCATTGTGTTCTCATTGTTCAACACCCACCCATGAGTGAGAACATGTGGTGTTTGATTTTCTATTCTTGTGTCAGTTTGCTGAGAATGATGGTTTCCAGGTTCATCCATGTCCCTACAAAGGACACGAACTCATCGTTTTTGATGGCTGCATAATATTCCATGGTGTATATGTGCCACATTTTCCCTATCCAATCTATCATCGATGGGCATTTGGGTTGGTTCCAGGTCTTTGCCATGTAAACAGTGCTGCAATGAACATTCGTGTGCATGTGTCCTTATAGTAGAACGATTTATAATCCTTTGGATATATACCCAGTAATGGGATTGCTGGGTCAAATACAATTTCTATTTCTAGGTCCTTTCTTTTTTTTTTCTTTTTTTTGAGACGGAGTCTAGGCTGGGCGTAGTAGCTCACACCTGTAATCCAAGCACTTTGGAGGCCAAGGGGGGGGCGGATCACCTGAGGTCGGGAGTTCAAGACCAGCCTAACCAAAATGGTGAAACCCCGTCTTTAAAAAAAAAAAAAACTAAAAAGAGAGAAAAAAAAAAGAAAGAGATGGAGTCTCACTCTGTTGCCCAGTCTGGAGTGCAATGGCGCAATCTCGGCTCACTGCAACCTCCACCTCCCAGGTTCAAGTGATTCTCCTGCCTCAGCCTCCCAAGTAGCTGGGATTACAGGGGACCATCACGACACCCAGCTCATTTTTTGTATTTTTAGTAGAGATGGGGTTTCACCATGTTGGCCAGGCTGGTCTCAAACTCCTGACCGAAGGTGATCTGCCTGCCCCCACCCCCCGCAAGTGCTGGGATTACAGGCCTGAGCCACTGCACCCGGCCTAAGAGGACCTGACTTTATAATGTGTTTATCTGTCTGTCTCTGCCATCAGAACATCATCTCTGTCCTGTTCACTGCTACATCCCCAGAGTCCAACATGGTGCCTGCACAGCAGATGCTCAGTAGATGTTGAGTAGAGAAGCAGTCTTGAGATGTGTAGCATATCACAGCTCGGAGCACACCATAGGGAAGAACCTAGACTCTGTGGCCTGGCTGTCTCGGTTCTGATACTACGAGATGTGTGTAAGACCTGGGAGAAATTGCTTAACCTTGCCTGACTTTTGTTTTCTCATTTGAAAAATGGGGCCAGGCATGGTAGCTCGTGCCTATAATCCCAGCAACTTCAGGAGGCCAAGGGGCCCAGCTCTTGCAGCAGTTTCCTCTGCTCTTCTTGCCACGTGCAGATGCTCTTGGGCTCCTGGGTCAGCCTGTCAGCCTGGGCAGTGGCTATGTAGCTGTTGGCAGGACCACTGGCCTCCTAGAACACAAACACGCAGCAGTCTACCCAGCTGGCACACCTGCCCTGCTGTCTCTGCTGCCCTTGCTGGAGGACCGCTTCAGGCCAGGAGTTCAAGACCAGCCTGGGCAACACAGCAAGACCCCATCTCTATTTTCAAAAAAAATTTTTTTAATTATGGAAAAAAGACCAGGCACAGTGGCTCATGCCTATAATTCCAGCACGTTGGGAAGCCAAAGCAGTCAGATCACTTGAGGCCAGGAGTTCGAGATCAGCCTGGCCAACGTGGCAAAACCCCATCTCTACTAAAACTACAAAAAATTAGCCAGGCATGGTAGCTGCTTAGGAAGCTGGGACTTGGGAGGATCACTTGAGCCAGGGAGGCAGACGTTGCAATCAGCTGAGATTGCACCACGGCACTCCAGCCTGGGCCACAGAGCAAGACTCTGTCCCCGCCCCCTCCTAAAAAAAGGAAAGAAAAATGGGAATAGGCTGTCCCCAGTGGCTCATGTCTGTAATCCTAGCACTTTGGGAGGCCAAGGCAGGTGGATCACATGAGGTCAGGAGGTCGAGACCAGCTTGACCAACATGGTGAAACCCCATCTCTATTAAAAATACAAAATTAGCCGTGCGTGGTGGCATGTGCCTATAATCCCAGCTACTTGGGAGGCTGAGGCAGGAGAATAGTTGAACCCTGGAGGTGGAGGCTGCAGTGAGCTGAGGTCATGCCATTGCACTCCTGCCTGGGCAATGAAAGTGAGACTCTGTCTTAAAAAAAAAAAAAATAAGAATGCCTTTAAGAGCTGTTGTGATTTAGTGCTCTAATATTTGTGAGACATTTAGAAGAGTGCTTGGCTAGAGTGACAACTCAGTGAACAGTAGCTACAATGACTACTATTATCATATGATTCATTCCCATTTTACAAGGGAGGAAACTGAGGCCCAGAGACATAGCACAGTGTAGTAGCAGAGGCACGGCTAGTGTCCAGGTCCCTGACTCCCAGGCAGGGGCTCTGCTCATGTCTCCCCACTGCTTGTCAGAGCTGTGGACCCAGAGCGCTGAGGACTATAAGCTCAGCCCACAAGGGTGTGGCACCCTCTGGCCTGGCAAAGCCTTTCTGATCTAGGTCCAGCCACACCCGCTCTGGCACCCACACCCTCTGCATTCCTGTCTGCAGGCGTCCCCCTGCAGTCACCCCATCTTTGTCTCTTGGTGCTTCTGGCCTGCAATTGTCTCCCCTCCCTCCTCCTTCAAGCACTTATCAAAACTGACTGCCTGTGTTGTTTGACATCTCCCCACAGGAGTGTCTGTCATACTGTGCCCACCGAGCCTCAGCACCTGGCAGGTGCTCCCTAAGCAGCGGCTAAAGGAGTAAAGATCCCTGGAGCCAGCAGGTGCAATGCAAGATTCAGAGGAGGCTCTCTGGGGGAGGAGCATATAGATGAGACATCAGAGCTACCATTTCCAGCCGCCTGGAGAGTGAGGGAAGGGCAGGGCCAGGACGGGGTGTAGCCTGGCACCTGGGATCATCAGGGCAGCTGGGCGTCACCCTTATTCCTCTTTGGGCACAGCACTGCATTTCAATTCAGAGACTCCCAACATCCCAGTAGGCCCTTCTGGGGGCCTTATCTGGAGAACACAAGCTCACTGCTGCTCCTTTCTGGGAACAACCCTGTTCTGAGGCCAGGCTACCAGGGACTCCTCCCAGCACCGCTGCCCAAACCTGCAGAGCCTCCTGTCTGCAGACAACTGCACTGTGACTGTGTATACAGGTTTCCCCAGGTGCCCTATTTTATTTTCTTCCCAGCACTTACAAGTCTATCTGAAATGACTTGTGAGGTCAGAGAAGTTGGAAATGAAAATAAAAATACAATGAATGCATCCATCTGACCACTACTCAATCCCCACTCCTTGAGCACACATGTACTAGAACCTTTCTCTGAGCCAGCCCACGTGGGCATTTAACAGGAGTCCCGGATGTCATTTGACTTTTCATTCCTGAAACTTCCCCCACCCTCCGCCTGAGAAAAAGGCACCATAATGCCCTTGTGGGGGAGGAGGAGGGGAAGAGAGGGCCGTATCCTGTATCCCGAGAGTTGTCTTTAGGGTGACACCCACGTGGCATGGAGACCTCAGCCTTTAGTCTGTCAGAAAGGGCACTGGGGCTGCCTTCTCCAGTCACCACTCACTCACTCACCTTGCAGGGCACAGCAATTTTACAAAGCCTCCTTTGCTTTCTTGGATTTTTGTTACAGATATTAAAATGAAAGCCTAGGGATACTGAACAATATACTGAGGATGTTGAGGCCCCAGGCTTATGTTCAGCCTTGATTTCTCCTTCTTTCCCATCCCATGTACAAGTCATCAGCAGCTCCTGTCATAGCAATCTCTAAAACTCTCCCTCTGGCCCTCACCGCCCTGGCCCAGACCACTGCTGGTCTCTCATGCAGCCCCATCTCCACAAAATGCCTGAATGACCTGTTCAGAGCCTAAATCTGATTTATCATGTCACACTTTAAAATATTCTAAGGCAGCTGGGTGCGGTGGCTCGCACCTGTAATCCTAGCACTTTCGGAGGCTAAGGCAGGAGAATCGCTTGAACCCAGGAGATGGAGGTTGCAGTGAGTGGAGATCGTACACTGCACTGCAGCCTGGGTGACAGAGTGAGACTCTGTCTCAAAAAATAAATAAATAAAATTAATTAATCAATTAAAATGAAATAAAATATCTGAAGGCTCCCTACTATGGCTAGAACAAAATTTAAGTGTTCTGGTCTCTCCCTGGGCCTCTGATTTCTGTCCTCTAACCAAGCACTCTTGCTATACTGGCCTTCATGCAAGCTCATCTTATATCCCCTCAGAGGCTCTGTCTGGAACATTCTTCCCCTAGAATCAAGGGCCTACATCTTCCTAGAGCTTCCCCTGCCTCCTGATTGAGGCCTCGGCTTGTTT